CAGAAGCAGCCCCAATGCCCTCACCGTCTTCAGAATATGACGTCATCTGCCGTCACCGTCGAGCTCAACGAGGCTTACCGTAATCGCTCCGGCCTGAAGCTGCTACATAATTTCTTCAATCGATTAACTGGTGAATAGCTTCCCAGAGACACTAGCTGTGACTGTGCAAGACCGCTTTTGACCAGCGTTTCAGGGACGTCGTAATGGTCTATGGTACCTCGACGACCTCGTTGAGCTCGTACCGTGAACCATGTTTCCGTGGGAAAATCTTCTGATGTCGTCGGTGTAGAAGGCTGTTATGTAACTTTTGATAGATTAGAATGTGCTCTTTAATATCAGTTGGGCTCATTTGGTTTGGTTTCGCACGCGTAAATTAATTCCGTTTTGAATGTGGAGAGAAGTGACTCTTTTTTTTTGCCCCCCCCTGTATATATGCTCTATGCTGTACAGTCTTTATTGCCTAGTTGTAATAGTGTAAGAGATAAAGGATGGAAAAAGGTTTTGTTCATAGGTAGCACCTGCTGCTGTCGACGGAAAGGTTATACGCCATGGGTGGTTTCGATGGCTCAACACATCATGACACAGTGGAAGTTTACGATCCTGAAAAACGATGGTGGACGGATTTCAACAACATGAATCATCAGGTTGCGGCTCCGATCTAATATTTTTGCATTCTTTTTGATTGGCCTTTGATTTCGCGATTGCCCTTCATAGGCAGAGTGAATACCGGTCGAGGATTCCTCAACGGCTTGTCGAGGATTTTCGCCTGATCAGTTACGCTCTCCCGCGCAGACATTCACACTCGCCATGGGCGAGCCGTCTGTGCTCTCCACGTACACTTCATGGAAGGGAGCGACGGTTCGGTTTCCCTTAGTACTTGTTCGCCAGCTATTCTGAATAGCTTGTACTGTTCACACTGCCACGCGGGACTTTTTCCACTGCTCCTAACACTGTACTGATGCACAGCTTTATGACAAATCAATAATCGACCTACAATCTCCACTTGTGAGGCGAAGGAGCACTTGTGGTTTCTCTCTTTCTAGGCGAACTTGTGAGCACTTGTGGTTGGAAGCAGAAACTGCCAGGCTCCTTCTCCTCACCTCCTTTTATACTGTATGGCGAGCATATCTTTTAAGAATCTAACAACATAATCGGCACCCACGAGCTAGAATTTCCACAACATCTCAAAAAGTTACATGAAACGATGAGTCATAAGAAAAATGTAATGCACATCATATTTTTAAATCAATCAAAAACAACAATTTCAATCATCCAAATATATCACTTGAAGTATCGTCGACTTGTCGACACTCCGCCCGGCTTGAATCGTTCTTCTGATCGTAGATGTTCGATCTCCTCTTCCAGCCGCTTTATTCGTTTTCTTACTTCGTTTTTTAGATCCGGTACTTCACACAGTGCGCGATGATGTCTCTTTTTCGGAATCAAATCCTCGACGATCGTCCCTCTAATCCTCTCGCAGTAGTAGCAGTCTCTCGGTGGAAATCTGCACTTGTCTTTGTGGGCAGTTGCCGAAGCAGCACTTGCACACCTTCTTTCTATCGACGATTGTGTTTCGATCGTGTCCATCTTGTACCTGCGGGCAAGAATCTGAGAAGTGACGGTCTACAGCGCCGAAGACTGGGATTTACCTTTCCATTCTGAACTAGTGCTTCGAATAATCGGTCCGTGAGAACAAAACGAGTCGCTAGCTTCTTGATCTGCTCCACTGCTTGTTCCGCCTTTCGAAGCGGCTCGGTAATTAGGAGGACTTGTTCTCCTGGTCCCCCCAAAACGAAATTTTCCTTGCTTCTGATATGCTCCCAGCATCTTTCCCACAGTTCGTTTTCCTGGGTTGTTTCACAATGCTGGGTAAGCGTGTTAATTTGGTGTTCTTCCATGCTCCAGTAATCTTCGTCTTGTTGTTGGCCGTCCTGAAGCTGGCCGGTTAAGAGGTGGCCAAGCCTGGTCGGTAAAAGGTGTAGCCCCGAAGGCAATTCCAAATGAGGTTGATCGTTATGGATCAAAGGCCACAGTTGGTCGCAACCGAGTAATATAAGTGGTTTTGTAACGGATTTCTGATCGAGGCGAAGTATAGGAAGGCTTAGCGCGTGAACGAAATTGATGTCTTCTTCTCTTATTGGAGGAGCAGCGAATGAACTCGTTAAAACATCGTACGTAAGTAGGTTCAAAGAGAGAGGTTTACCTTCGATGTCCCAGACGTTGAGCTTCACTCGACGGCACACTTTTTCTCGGACTTCTTTGGTGCCGAAAGTGCGTATCTTCAGCCTTACTTGTGCCATCGTAGGAAGCTGAAGTTCTTCGGCCAACGAGGCATCTATGAACGAGACTTGTGCTCCTGTGTCCAACAGTACCGTAATCCTTCTCATGACCTTAGTGCTCGGGTCAAGAACTGTTGCTTGTCCC